ATGAGTACTTAATTTTAGGAGTATGAGAAGAGACTTCTGCTTGAGGGGGAGCGAATATTGATTACACTTGTTGCGAAGGAGTCGATATGAAGATCCCCAAGTCGAAAAGGGGGAGAATTGTTGGATTATTTCTCCTTAATTAGATACGAGTTCCAATGCATGGAAGAATGAAAAGGCTTAATGGGAAAATGAAAGGACTTCATGGGAAAACAAAGAGTTGAATTGAAATTGGCCACATTAAATGAAGAAGAATCTAGAGCATTGAGCATATCCCTCCTAGCCATCTATAAATAAAGGAAGATATAAGATCAACAAATTGAGGTGAAGAAATACTCCATGAGAGAAAGAACCCGACTGAATATCTCTAAGGAGAAATTTGAGTGAGACCTCTCTAGGAAAGTTTGAATACCACCATTGTAGGTCATGCTTGATTATTTGAGAGTACCTCTAAAGAGATGTTTGAGTGTTAGACCTCTTTAGGAACGTTTGATGTTACCACCATACTTGGTGAAGCTTGATTGTACCTCTAGTGAAAGACTAGGGAAGCTTGACTCTTATAACCCATTATTCTTATAGTTGAAGTTTGATTTTGGACTAGTGTCTCGTGGATTTTTACTTCTTCGTATTGGAGAAGGTTTTCTCACGTTAAAGAAATTGTCTGTGTTCTTCTCCATCTCTCTCCTCTTGCATTTTATTGTTTCGCTTCCGCAATCGACTTGAGGATCCGACTTGACCCAACACTTATGTCCCTTATATTAAGAGTTGAAATTTATTATTTTGTTAATAGAAATTGAGAACCGAATAGTTATTTTTTTAACAAATTTTAACTTTTTGTTAACGAACTTATTTATTTGCTAGTACTAGTTACTTGGTATTGTTTCATATTTATTATTATTATTATTATTATTATTATTTATCTGACTATTCCACGGTTCTTGATAATGAAAATTTGAGGTGCTTAATTGCATCACCGATTTAACATAACCAATATATATATATATATATATATATATATAATATAATATATATATATATAAATAAGAGAGGAGAAATTTTTTTTACTATATAAATTAAGGAATTATTAAGATACGAATCTTTCTATATGGATACAGGATACATCAAACATGTGACCAGCTTGAGCGCTCTGAATTGCAAATCCACGGCGACAGCCACATTGCAAGGTTTTGTTAGATGAGGCACGCATTTGAGTTAATATATATGTTAAAATTGTGATTAAAGGGATACCGTTGCTACTTTAACTATTTGATTTCGTATTTTAAGTTATATAATATTTAATTATATAATTAGTTCTCTTAAATATATCAAGTTGTTGTAGAGGTGTGTTTTAAAGTTTGTAAAAGTCCACCAAATTAAGTAGAAAGCAAAGCAATTAAAGCTTAATCAATCTATTCGTGTCCCCCATTTGCTACAATTTGTAGTGTTAATTTATTGGATATAACATGCGGAGAAAGAGAAACTTAAACAATCTGATCTCAGGTCACAAGGCTAACAGCGATCAAATCTCAACTTGAGCTTTTACTATTAGATATAATAGGATTCCCAAATCTATTTCCAAGCACACATGTTAATCTTCAAAACCTTTAAAGAACAAATTAACTTGCCAATTTCGGATTTTCCAATAAGGAGAAGAAAGCCAGGGGCTCAAAACGAAAAGGAGAGAGAAAAGCAACTTAAAGTTCAATGAACCTTTCTAACCTAATTCGTCTGTGCCAAAACATGGCTTGGACAAATTCTGAGCTCATGTCTTTCAAAACATACAAACCAACTCAAAATAAGACGTCATAATAATTAAGTGCGTAGTTATTTACAAGTTATTTTTGTTGGAGACTGATCTTAATTATCTCTTTGAGGCGAATCAGAACCCTTTGATATCCTCACGGCGGGTTCGACTCTCTGAGCCGCCTATGGAATTAGTTCAGAGTTCGGGTGCGAATCCAAGGATCACAGTACTTATGATACTTATTTACAAGTTTTAAAACCTTTTCTTCTTAATCTCTAAATATAAAATTAACTAATTATGGCTATAATTAATGTTTCGGTAGTGAAAAAAATTTAAGACACCTTTTTCGTACATCTAAAATTAATTAATTTTAAAAGTCAGGTACCCTGAGAAATATGTATCTATATAATAATAATTGATAATATATAAAGAAATTTCAGTAGTGAAATCCTATGAAAATATAGTCATATGATAAGGTGAGATGCTAATACGGGTAAAAGTTAAATTTTTTATTTTAAATTGTTGCAGTTGATCAGAAATGCAAATGATACTAATATATCTATTTAATTGAGTTTTGAATTTGAATTTTATATGAAAGATTGATGTATTTATTGTAACTTAAAGTCCATATTATATTTTCCTCTCAATTGATCTATAGTTGTAATTCTCATTTTATCTAATTGTTACTTAATTGGTCTTAAATAATACACTATACACAATTCAAATTGCAATATTAATTACTATTGGGATATTCAACTGTGATGGAAGTTTTACATTGGTTGATAATGAGCTAAATGAAGTGGATATAAATAGATAAACACGTTAATCCAATGTCTTAAGATTTTGGGTTCTCCCATCACGGGCTTCCCACAGACCCGCTTGATAATGGTATCTGAGCTGGGTTGGGCTCGAGTTAGCAAAGTGTTTGGCTAGGAGGCGAGTTAAGTAATACTTTGGGACTGGATACTCAGTTGAGAGGAAGCATGTCAGTGTTGGATTTCACACTTGAAGGAGAGATTGTTGGAATATTCAAGTGTGATAAATATTGATTCAAAAAAAAATGGTGTGATACATCTCACATTAATTGGTAATGGGCTATGTGAGTTCATATAAGTGGGAGGATCCACAAACTCAATGTCTTAATATTTTGTGTTTAGACATGGTATTGAATTCAGTTGATATGGTGGTCTAGCCTTAGCCTATTGGTAATGGTTCCCCTTCACGGGCCGGGGCTCCTCTTGAACCCGCCTGACAATTTCCTTAACTTCTCTTGTTTGATCAATTATTTAATATAATTGTCCGTTAATTAAATTGGTTTAATCAATTAAAGTAATTTATATGTAATTAATTTTTTTCATTTTATCTTCACTAATCAATAATCGCAATTCTCTATTGTTTAGTGTTGTTAAAGATTACATATGAATTGTATCTGATCCGGATAAAATATAAAGCCCATTAGAGGCCCAATGACATAAGGAGAGGCCCAAACCCATTAAGGATCCAGAGCAAAGCGCGATGGGCAAACATTGCGCATAAGACGTGATGCCTTCATCGCGCTGGACAAGACGCGATGCCCATATCGCGGATAAAACCCCCTTAAGGAAGCTAACTTAAGGCACAAGGATTCCCACCGCGCCTTTATTCCAATGAATGACAGACAGCTTCAGCTTGCCGCGACTCTACTATTGCCGCGACTCAGGTCCTAGCAATGACTTGCAGCCCAAGCCTGGCCACTTAGAGGCCAAGCCGCCTTTCTAAGGCGGCATCAAAACCACTATATAAATAAAGGGTACAACACCAAGGTAAGATGAATCTTTACATTAATAACATACAAACTCCTGCCTCTGATACTGACTTAAGCATTGGAGTGTCTTCGCAGGTACCCCCCCATTCGGATCCAACGCGCTACAACAAAGGACAGAGACATAGTAAGATCCAACCTCAATTCCAGGCCCAAGACCAAGAACAACAATCCATATCTCAACCGTGTGTGATTAGGCTTGATACATATTGGCCAGCCCATATTGTATTAGGTCCGATCATTGGCGCCGTCTGTGGGAATCTATCAGTTAGAACCCATCTCTTTCTCAAATTAAAAACATGGTTGATACCATAAGCAAATCCCAGAACGGTTCCAAAGGAAAGCGGAAGGAGACTCATGCTACCCGCAAAAAATCAGCTTCGTCGGTGGCACCACTTTCTATCCATGAGGATAACCCACCGACAGCCCAGCACTTGCTGGACTTTATCACACAACAAAACAAGAAAATTGCCCAGCAAATCCGAGATCTAGCTCGATTGAAAAAAGCTCAAAAGAACAAGGAAAAAAATCTAGAAAAAAGAAAAGAAAAATAAAAAGAACATGAGAAGGAGAAAACTCTTGAAAATTCTGGAGAAAGTGATTCGCGGCAGGAACATTCACTGGGTAACCCTGGTCCTTCGGGTCACAAAAACAAAAAAATGTGAATAAGTGAAAGACACTAATGAGAACGAGAATTCTCATGGAAATTCTAGGACATTTTCTCGAATTCTTCACCCATTCATCCCATGCATAATAAATATCCCAATTCCTAGAGACATCAAGATTACAACTGAAAAGTATAACGAAAAGGGGGATCTGCAGGAACATCTGGAACAATTCCAGACCAATATGATGGCTCAAGATGTAGCCGATCCAATAGCGTGTTGGTTGTTTCCAACAACCCTAAAAGAAACATAACTTAGGTGGTATTCTGTGCCACCGCCTAATTCAGTTCAAAGCTGGGAGGACTTAACTAATCAATTTCGTGTACGCTTTGCAACAAGTAAAACGCGATACAAATCTACGCATGCGCTCAAAACTGTGCGTCAAGGACCAAATGAAACATTGCGCGATTATCTCAACAGATTCTTTGATGAAGCACTCCTGGTCAGAGACTTGGATTCACAAGTCTCACTACATCTTATTACTGAAGGGCTACTTGAAGGCCCTTTCTCTATGTCGTTAGCCAAAAAGCGACCACATGCTATAGAGGAGCTGCGTGCGCGATCAGAAAAAATCATCAACTTGGAGGATTACAAACGTTCACGTGCAATTCCCAATACCAGGGCCGACATGGACAACTTTGAAAATGACGTCCACAAGAATTTTCAGCAGAAATTTCATGATAAAAGGAAGTGGGAAAGATATGACAATTATACTCCATTGAATACGTTCCAGAGGAGAATTTTGAAAGAAGTATTCCAAACATGATATGTACGAGTTAACAAACCCCCTCTAATGAGAAAAGGAATGCAGCGCGATTATACCAAGTTTTGTGAGTTCCACAACAATAAAGGCCATACAACTGATGAATATTTCGAGCTCAAAAATACTATCGAAACATTCATAAGAGCTGGGAAACTCCAGGAATTCGTTTCTAGCTGCAGGGAATACAAGACGCAAAGAAGACGCGATAGAAGCCCAGATCGCGATCCAAACCCTAATGAACAAAGGGCATATCCCATAAGGGACTACAACCCTGCACGGAACAATGATCGCAGAAATGCGAGAGAGGCCTCTACTGACAGACGCCGAGGGACTCCTTCGCGAAACAGACAGCGTATCGCGCAACAGCAACCACTTCAGTTACCTAATAACGCGACAGGAGTCTTAGCCACTATCGCCAGAGGGTCAGCGGGAGGAGGCGCGACTAAATCTCAGCGTAAAAAACATCTAAAATCCGTAATGACAGTACGCGATCATGCTCGCCCTTCCACATCTCGCAATCAAAGGCAGACCATAAGTTTTTACGATGATGACCCACTGGTAATCTCAACTTGCATGGCTAATCTCTAGGTAAAACGTATTATGATTGATAATGGTAGTTCTGCAGATATTATTTTCTGGGATGCTTTTCGCGCGATGCACATCCTAGAGGAACATCTAGTTCATGGATGTTCGGATTTAATTGGCTTCGCTGGAGAATGCGTACAACCCAAAGGAACCATTGAGATGTGGGAAACTTTTGGAATCGTGCCACAGGCTCGTACTATCAAAGTACGGTTTTATGTCATTGAATATGCCTCTGCATACAACGTTGTTTTAGGAAGACCAACTATTACTGCATTAAAGGCAATCATTTCTATGCCCCACCTTTTAATCAAATTTCGTGACATGTCTGGCACGGTAGTTGTCATTAGGGGCGACTAGAAGACAGCGCGCAGCTGATATAACACCAGTTTACAAGCTAAAACTCCAATATAGCTGGATGGAAAAGCCAAAGCGGCAATCAATATGATTGATCTTGATATGCGCGATACCTAAGGTTAGGGTTCCATGGACGTCTTTCCTCGAATAAAAAGATACCAGAATCGTGATTGATCGTCAATCGAATCAGAATCCTTATTTCCAATTGACAACCGTCTCTAAGCGATTGCTTAGAATTTGATCAAATACGGTGCTTCTACTCATACAATCGCAGAGTATCAGCCTGTTTGATTTAAGGTCATAGGGTCAATCAATCTAACCATCAAATCTGATGATTAATCCCTTTCCATAATCGCAATCGCGAACCTCAGATTGAATATCCACGATCACACGATATCAATCTAAGTTGGGAAGGGAAACAAAACTGATTTAAAATAAAGCGCAGACCCTCAAGACTAATCCATGGAATCCGTTACCCTTAGGTTGATTAAAAGGTTCTTAGCCTCGCATGGCTAAGGTAAACATGATTAAAATAAAATAAAAAAAAGAAGAAGAAAAATATGAAGAACACAAAGAACTGTTAAGAGAAAGTGCTTTTATCCCAAAATACGAAAATTCCGAATGAATAAAATGTTTCCTACTCTGCCGTCATATACCCCTACCCAAAGCGGGTTAGGGTTTAGTTATGATCGGCCCATCTGTCTAAAATACGAAATAAAATAAAATAAAACTAAAACTTGGTTTTGGGCCACTTAAGTAATTGGGATTTAATCTAAATTACAAGTCCAATAATAAAATAAAACTTCAACAAAACGCGTATATGTCTTAATTGGATTTATATAACTCAGGTTATGTCTTTTGCAAACCGACTACTGCAAACCAGACTTTTAGCAACAGAGCAGCGACTTTAAACTCAAATTGGGATAGATCTTCTCATTTAAAAATTCCAAAACTTTCAACAATTAAATATATTTGATTTAACTTTACATAGGTTCAAGCCTCTCTTAATTTAACGGTTCAGGTTCTTGCAGTCAGAGGCGGACGCAAGGCAAAGAGAAGGGGGCACATGCCCACCCTTAAATTTTGATGTGAAAGTACCAAAATACCCCTCAATTAAAATTCAAATTTCCTCCTATTTTATTTTTCCTTTTTCTCCTCCACCCATGACCGACCTAACCTAACCACCTCCATTACACTAAGATCCAAACCCAAATAGCAAAATTCAGTCTCCTGCGACTCCGCCAAAGTGCCAATAGCAAAGATATGACTCGTATTTTAACAATAAAAAAGGATATCAATTTCAGAGCTGGAGCTGGTTGAACTATCCATTCGACTGCGCTGCTGCTAGACCGAAAGTAAGAATTCTCCGTCTCTGTAAATATCCATTTCCTATTTCATGGTTATTCTTCTGAAAAAATATGCATTATTGACACCAATAATTACTTTGCTCTGGTTTGCGTCCGCCTCTGTGAGGGTGGCATTTTGATTATTAATGATCTATAAAAAATATGTGGTGCCTCATAAGTAATAAAGTTTTAATTTTTTAAATAAAAACAGAATTTTTGTTTGTTGGCATATAGCTTATCAGTTATCTTGGTAGTGAAATAATATTATAGTCGAAGTGCTCCTCATGGTTGTTTGCACAAATAATATTATAGTCAGCACATGAATACATGATTGCTTGCACTTGCACAAATAATATTTTGGTGTAAAAAAATAAAGCTAAATTTACTATAATACTTTACTGATTCATATGAGTGTTGGTTTCTTTTTTTTATTGATTTATTTTTGTCATTTGTCATTTTTTAGGATGGAAAGATATGTAGGTTCTTTTTTTACAAAGTCAAGTAGTGGTAGTACTAAACGTGCTCGATCCGAATCTGCATCTGTTGATTTATTTCAAGATAAACAAAATGAGCGTGCTACTCCCTCAAGCCAGAACAAACCAACAGTAGAAGGTCCACCGGATTTGTATGTTCCTGATCCGGGTAAAAGACTTCCTATTATGAGATTTGCGAAGAGTGCTCAAGAAAGGGAAATGATTCGAAGAATTTATCTAACGAATGGTCCTTGTCAACCAAAACTTGACAACTTTCCTCAATCCTTAATTGGGGGTAAAATGCGTAGATTTAATCCTCAATGGTACAATGAGTTTGGCACTTGGTTGGAGTATAGTGAATCAAAAGATGCTGTATTTTGCTTGCATTGTTATCTATTTAAATGTGAGCATGGTGATGGAAGGGGTGGTCATGATTCATTTGCAGGAGAAGGATTTAGCAATTGGAAGGATAAACAACGGCTTTTTAAACATATTGGGAAAGTTAGAAGCATTCATAAGTTGTGCTTCAGTGCTGCCAAAGATTTGATGAATCAAAATCAACATATTGACATTGTTGTGTCTGGCATTTCTGATAAAGCCAAACAGGATTGTCGTATTCGTCTGAATGGTTCTATTCGATGTATTCGATATCTCATACGACAAGGTTTGGCTTTCCGGGGACATAATGAGACAAATGCTTCAATGAATCAAGGAAATTTTGTGGAGCTTGTAAAATTCCTTTGCGAAAGCAATGAGGAGGTAAATAATGTATCTTTGAATAATGCCCCAGATAATCTCAAAATGATAGCTCCCTCAATTCAGAAAGATATTACTAGTGTTGCTGCTAGTTTAGTTACCAGAGCTATTATTTCAGATAATGGGGATAATTTCTTCTCTATACTAGTTGATGAAGCTCGTGATATATCAATTAAAGAACAGATGGCCTTTGTTTTAAGATATGTGAACTGCAACGGTGACATTATTGCACGTTTTCTTGGTCTTCTTCATGTTTCAGATACTACAGCTAGTTCACTTAAAGAAACGATTGAGATGATTTTTGCCAAAAATGGCTTGAGCTTGACAAAGATTCGTGGTCAAGGTTATGATGGGGCAAGCAATATGAGTGGTCAATTCAGTGGTCTGAAAAGCTTGATTTTAGTTGAAAATAATTCTGCTTACTATGTTCACTGCTTTGCACATCAACTTCAGTTAGCTTTAGTAGCTTGTGCTAAAAAGGTTTACACTTTGACTGATTTCTTTAATTTTATATCGTTGTTGTGTAATGCAGTTGGTGCTTCTTGCAAAAGAGCAGATATTTTGAGAGAAAAGCAATTTGATGAGCTAGTAAAAAGTATTGCAAGCGATGATGTTCAATCAGGGAGAGGCTTGAATCAAGAAATGAGTTTGTCACGACCAGGGGACACACGTTGGAGCTCACATTACCGATCATTGGTAAGTCTGTGTACATTGTTTGATCCTGTGCTTGATGTGCTAGAAATCATAAAAGATGATACAAATCTTATGCATGCAAAAAGGTCTGAAGCCTTTGGCCTTATGATGCGTATGCAAACTTTGAATTTGTATTATTTTTGAACCTGAAGATCAAGGTCTTGGCAATAACGAATGATTTGTCACAAGCACTTCAAAGAAAAGATCAAGATATTGTAAATGCTATGACTCTTGTAAAAGTTTCAAAGGTGTTATTACAGAAGATGAGGGATAATGGCTGGTATAATCTATTTAAGAAGACTTCTGATTTTTGTATAAAACATAATATAGATATCCCTGATATGGAAAGTGTACTTGCATTACAAGGGAGAACAAAACGTAGAGGACCAGTTACTCATCTGCATCACTTTAAGGTTGACATATTTTATGCAGTGATAGATACTCAACTTCAAGAGTTGAATGATCGTTTTAGGGAAGTTAGTTCAAATTTGCTGGAATGCATGGCATGTGTAAATCCGTGCAACTCTTTCTCGGCATTTGACAAAAATAAGTTGTGTGAATTTGCTGGCTGTTATCCTTCGAATTTTGATTTGAATGATTTTGTCATGCTTGAATATCAGCTCGACACGTATATTTTTGATATGCAAAGTGATCCTGATTTTTTGAATTTGCAAGGAATAGTTGATCTTGCCAAGAGGATGGTTGAAAAGAAAAAACATATTGTGTATCCTTTGGTTTATTTACTTGTAAAGTTAGCATTAACTTTGCCCGTAGCAACTGCATCTGTGGAAATAGCATTTTCAGCTATGAAATACATCAAGACTGCACTTCGTAATCAGATTGGAGATGAATGGTTGAATGATTGTTTAGTACCATATATTGAAAAAGATGTATTTGATAGCATTGGTAATGAGGCAATTATGATGGAATTCCAAAAAATAAGGCCTAGAAGAATGACATTGTAATTATTTTTATTGAAATATACTTTTATTATTAAAATATATGTACTTGAACTTGAGTGCCCACCCTTCTTCAAATTCCTGGATCCGCTATTGCTTGCAGTGACCAAACCAAGATATATTGTGTTTGCAATTCTCTAAATTCTAAACTATTTATTTCTAACACTTTAATTGCTTCTTTGGTATCATGTATGTGCTAGTATAGATTATATCTTTGTGGTAGATTATGTATTATGATTGCTTTAATATATTTATAAGCATATCATGTGTCAAAGTTTCAATAAAATGATCATTTAGAAACAAGAAGGGAGATTTTGCAAAAATCTTGATGTCTTCCTCCGACCTTAAAACGAGCCTTTTCTATCGCAGGTCTCAAACCACATATCAGGAGACTAGTCCTTGTTCAAAGACCTCAAGATATTCATGCTGCTTTTTCTTTGGCCAAGGTTTATGAGGACCAATATGCAGGCTCAAACATGGGATCCAAGCAGCAATGGTAGTGGACACCATGCAATTCCTTGCCGAGCACTACATCAGCCACTGTATCTTCAAGTAAAATGCCATCCGCAGTATATATAATTCCCATTAAACGCCTTTCACTGGTTGAAATGCAAAGTAGACGTGAATAGGGGATTTGCTATAATTGTGATGAACGATACGTGGTTGGTCACAAATACAAAGGAAAAACCACTTTGTTATATTTGGAAGGTACCAATGATGACATTGTCACCTTTGAAGCCGATGACATTCAAATTTCTTCTCCTAACACACAAAATATGTCCAACTCATTTTCAAAGATTAGTTTGAATGCTCTTTTTGGCCATTATTCTCCATGATCCTTTAGTTTGGCAGGAACCATATTTGAAAAATTGATCCAAGTGTTAATAGATGGAAGCACCATATATAATTTTATTACACAAAAGGCCAATTATTTGGGACTTATTCTGCATACCTTCATCCATTTTTACATTGCAGGTTGGATATGGCAATGACCTTCAGTGCCAAGCAATTTGCTATGGAGTACCTTTAGAGATGCTGTGAACACATTTCCCTTAGATTTATATGTATTGGATTTGAAAGGCACCGATATAGCCCTACCAGTATAGTGGTTGGCCACTTTAGGCCCAATCATGACCGACTACGGGCAATTACTCATGTCCTTTGATCATAACGACAATAATGTTCAATTACAAGGGCAACGACCGTACAACCCAATACTGATTTCTCCAGCAAAGCTAAACAAATTATGACTTGTGATACCTTCACCTCATGTCTCATGTGTTTTGCCCATCCAGACTCTTCAGTGGATAATGTTTCATAATCCACCAATCTTGACCTCTAACATTTGGTTCTTGAAATCCAAAGATTACTACACATTTATGCCAATGTGTTTGCCATTCCCACTACCTTACCACCAAACCGACCACACATTCACCATATAAATTTACTTCTCTATTCTAAAACTACCCAAGTTTGGTCTTATCGTTACCTACATTTTCAAAAGAGCAAAATTGAAAAATTATGCCAAGAAATGCTAGCAGTAGGCATTATTCACCTTAGACACTCCTCATTCAGTTCCCCAGTTCTTTTAGTTAAAAAGAAAGATGACACATGGCGATTTTGCATGGATTACCGAGCCTTAAACGCTGTCATTGTGCAAGATCAATTTCCTATACCCACTGTGGATGAGTTGCTATATGAACTACATGGTGCCACTATATTCTCCAATCTAGGCCTTTGCTCGGGATATCACCAAATTTGCGGCACCCTGATGACATTCATAAGATAGCATTTTGAACACATCGCAAACACTTTGAATTCTTGGTTCTTCCCTTTGGACTATCCAATGCACCTTCCTTATTCTAGGTAACAATGAATGACATTTTTTCACCATTTTTACGGTGTTTTGTTGTTATCTTCGTTAATGATATTTTGGCATTCAACCCGAGCTTGACAACACATGTCAAACATTTGCATCAGGTTCTGGGAACCTTATGACAACATTACCTTTATGCAAAATTTTCAAAGCGTTCATTTGCCACTAACTCTGTTCAATTTTTGGGCCACATTGTTTTGGGCGATGGAGTCGCTTCTGACCCAGAAAAGGTAAAAGCAGTCTTGGACTGGGCTCCTCCCGCCTCTGTCACATAGGTTAGGGCATTTTTAGGTTTATCTGATTACTATAGTTGCTTCATTCAAGGATATGCCAAGATTACATCTTCGTTCACGGACCTACTGACAAAGGAGGATTTCTCTTGGTCGGATGAGGCTAATAAGGCTTTTCTTGAACTTAAAAAAAGAATTACAGAAATTCCCATTCTTATTCTCTCTAATTTTATTAAATAGTTTGTAATTGAGACAGATGCTTCGGGTACAATAATCAGGGTTATGGTATCGCAAGACGAACGCATGGTAACTTTTCAATAAAAAGTTATCTCCATGCATGCAACACTAATCCACATACATTCAGGAGATGTATGCCATTTTTTTGGTGGTAGGCAAATGGCGACAATAGCTCTTAGGATCCAATTTCATCATCAGAATGGATCATAAGAGCTTGCACCACCTAATGTCTCAAGTGTTCCAAATGCCAGAACAAGAGCAGTTTCTGGCAAAACTGTTGGGTTATAATTATACGATTACTTTTAAATCGAGCAAAGCTGCTGACAAATTATCAAGGTAACTTCAAGGGGATATTTGGTCTCCAATCGCTAACCTAGCGTCCCTATCTGTGCCGCAATCTCATTATTTATCAGTTTTACATAAGGAATTACAAGAGTAAACATATTTAGCTATAATAATGAGGGGAAACAGTCATCCAAAGGAAAGAATGGGAATTTGGATATCAAAAATAGGTTGATGCTTCACCATGGTTGCACTTTCAATCCTACAAAGTCTTCCTTGATTTCCAACCTGTTGGAAAAGTTCCATTCTGCCCCAATTGGAGGTCATGCCAATGTCTGTCGCACCTTGTCTTGTTGTGAACATTTTACACATGGAAAACAGTTAGAAATGATGTACATGAGTTTGTAAAATATTGTGTGTTATGCCAACGAGTTAAGCCAATTAAACATTCACCTTATGGGTTGCTGTAGCCATTGGAACCACCTAAAGAAATCTTGTCGGAGTTGTCAATGGATTTTATAACATATTTTCTACTAGTCCAAGGATTCTCTATCATTTTAGTTGTGGTGGAACACTTGACTAAAGGTGCACACTTTATTCAGCATCCAGGTTGTTACACAGCTTCCAAGGTTGCACAAGCCTTATAAGATAATGTCGGGAAGCTTCATGGACCACCAAAGTCCATTATCACTGATCGCGACTCGATTTTCGTCAGTGACTTCTGAAAATCTTTGTTTCAAGTCCAAGAAACACAGCTCCGCTTATCACCCACAGACCGATGGCCAAACAAAACGAGTGAACAAGACATTAGAACAATACCTCAGGGCCTATACTTTTGTCATTGGAAGTGTAACAGCCCGTTACGTACCGGTAATGTTATCATTGCATATGGTATTAAGCGCAATTACAATCACAGTAATTGAATTAATTAGATTACGGGTAAACTTTTTCTTTTATTACATCCTTATCTTTAAACATTAACCATTTCCGTAATCAATTAAAAATAACACCGTAAATGCAAAACTCGCGGAAGTGTAACATCCTGTTACGTACTGGTAATGTTATCATTGCATATGGTATTAAGCGCAGTTACAATCACAATAAATGAGTTAATTAAATTACGGGTAAATTTTTTCTTTTATTGAATTCTTATCCTTAACACATTAACCATTTCCGTAATCAATTAAAGACAACACTGTAATTGTAAATGCAAAAATCGCGGAAGCATAAAACTTATTTATTATAACTCCTCCAAGCAATGCCATGAACTCTAGGTTATAAAAACACTTATTTTCAAAAATTACACAGTGTTAATTGATTACCCTTCTTGAGGTAATCGATTACCAAAAGTTCTAGAATGAGGCAGTAGCTCAATTTGGGCTCCTCTATTTTGTTTAATCGATTACCTTGACAAAGGTAATCGATTACTGAACTAGGTAATCGATTACCTATGCTCAGGTAATCGATTACTTTGATCACAGTGGCTCAAATCTTGCGTCCCCTGTTTCAGGTAATTGATTACCAAAGAAAAGTAATCGATTACCGTACTGTAAAATGACATATGACAGCTTTTAAAACACAAAATGGGTTATGTATTCTACCCTTGACACTTTACTACTAAATATAGAACTTACACAAGAACTAATGTAGGCTCTAGGCTCTTCCATCATGTATATTCATTATCCAATATGTCAATTACAATGGTTCCCAATACCATAGCCATTTTAAACATCAAATGGTCTATTTACAACACAAGTTTCCAAATGCCTTTAAGTACAATATATGTGGCCATGGACAAATCTCATGCTCACTAAGATGTCAATATAACAATAGGTATGAAATGTGAATAATTTACAAAAGACTTAGAATCTAATCATGAACACCACAAAAGCATGGCAAAATATGTTCATGATCTAAGTCCCAAAATGCTAAATACTATGCTATGTTCATCAAATAAAATCCTCCAAAATGCTATGATCTCCATATGAACACCATGATCCAATCCTCCTCTACACAGGCCTCTTGCCTGATGGTCCTCCATGCTTACTATGACCGGAAACGATGTCCCCAAACGCGGGGTGAGATATACAAATATATCTCTGTAAACCAAGGGTACTAGAGGATCACTCCATCCCATGGCTCACTCAATGTGCATACAATGATCATAATATGAAATGCATAACATACAAATATCATACAACACTGGGTCACATCCAAGAACATCCATAGAAGGATTACGTTCAAAGACCCCATCATATAACTCCCGGGAAGCTTCCTGGTGCCTCTCTCATGGATGAGACAACCCCATGGAAAAATCAAACTGGAACTCCTCATGAGCCATATCCAGCGGAAGTCCCACGTTTGGATCATCCTAGTACCGCTCCCAGAGACGGCCCCACGGCAAAACCCGACCAGAATCCCCCAAAGGGATATCTCAAGCGAAATTCCAAACCACACACATCTATTGGCCAGAGATCACAGACATGTCACACAACATGCTCCAAGCATGTCACACAAGCAAGCAATAATGCATGAACTACAATTCATACAACGTCAAAGAGCACAAATCCAAACCACGACCTTCCACTAGGTGTGGCGGAACACACAAGGGATAAAACCCAAGTACCAAGAGTTTACCTCAACTCCACAAGAAATGCTCTTCCACGTAAGCTCCAAGATTAGTCCACTTCTATTGAATCCGTGAGTGCAACCTATATTCATCAATTAATCCATACCATCAACACTTGCATATAACCAATACATGTCAAAACAATAATTCTCAACATAACCACTTAGGCCTAATGGCCAACCTACATTTAATTCAATTACCTCAACCATTTTAGTCATTAAACTAACTCACCATTTATGCACCAGGCATCACTCATTGGTTGTACCACATTTTCACATCATTTTCCTTATTTCTTTCCATATGGTCGAATTCTTCATGCCATTATACTCCAAGGCTTTCAATTCAATTCAACCCTCACACACATCATATAATCCTATTATTAACTCATACCAATGCTCTATAACTCAATTATTCAATCCTATCATCATACCAATTCACAAAGTATTGAAATCTCATCACAAAATTTTCTAAGTTACAATTTCCAAATCACAATAATTTTTATTGCATCAATCATCATCATTTATCATTCTAAGCATTTAATTCCAAAGGAAACATACCATTTAATGCTCCTAACTACCATAACCCAACATACATAATTAAAAACCCTCACCATTTTATGATCTCGTGAAAAACTCTCGATAAGAGTGTGAAAACTTACCACCAATAGCTTCCTAGGGTCCAAGGAAATGAGTTCCAACCAACCAATCAACACAAGAAAGCACCAAAATTTCCCAAATTTCATAAATTGTCGTGGATGAAATGGGATGATTTCTCCTCACACAATGAT